CAGAGTCTGCATGTTGTCCGGAACCTGCAGCCCGACCAGAGTCTGCATGTTGTCCGGAACCTGCAGCCTGACCAGAGTCTGCATGTTGTCCGGAACCTGCAGCCCGACCAGAGTCTGCATGTTGTCCAGAACCTGTAGCAGCCAGCCAAGAACCTGCTGCAGTAGCCAGACCACAGCCTGCAAAAGGGTCCTCACCTCAGCCTGAGGGTCCTGTGTCCCCTGTTGGTCCTGCTGAAGATCCCGGCAAGCCTGCGACCTTCCCCTCACGTCTCTTGTCTCGAGGGGGTCCTGGAGGATGCCCCTCATGTTTCCTGTCTCGAGGGGGTCCTGGAGGACGCCCCTCACGTTTCCTCTCTAGGGGGTCCTGGAGGACACCCCTCAGGTTTCCTGTCTCGAGGGGGTCCTAGAGGACGCCCCCCATGCTGCCCACCTGAACGTTGGTCCTGTACTGGACGGCCTCCACGCCACCCACCTGCACTTTGGCCTCGTGTTGGACGGCCTCTCGGCCGCCCCGCTGACCTTCTCTGGCCAGTCGGACGGCCTCCCGGCCACCCACCTGACCTGCTCTGAGCAAGTGGACGGTCTCCTGGCCATCTGGACATTTTGTATTCCCTACTTAGCTTAGTCCCCAGGCCTTGTCCTGTTGGTTTTGTTTTGGTCCTTGTGTGTCTTTGTTAGGGCCCGCCACCCTTGCAGTTCCTCCCTCCGCCTGCCCTAGTTTTCTGGGAGGGGGTTTCTTGGGGACGCCAGGGGGCGTCCTTGAGGGTGGTGGGGGTAATGTAGGGATGGCGCCATCTAGTGGGCCTTCCCCTGTCTGTTCTCCCTTGTGTCTCTGCTTTGATTGTCTGATTATCATCACCTGTGTCATGTCCTGTTTGTGTGTATAAAGTCTGTCTGTTAGTCCTGTCAGTGTCGGTTTGTCGTTGGGTCTTCCTTGTCATGTCCTGTCAGTCTGGTCCTGTTTGATCTTGTCCTGAATTTGTTTTGTAAGTTTGCTGCCATGTCAGTCTTTTGATTTATTATTAAAAGTATTTTATTTTATATGTCTACCTCCTGAGTCCTGCCTGCACAACTGGGTTCTCTCTTGTCCTGACCTGCCTTGAAACCCTGACAAGATTAATCATCTCAACATCTTATTTTCAAGATGTCAAGATTATAACCAACATCTTATTTTAATGAACTATTTTAGTAGCCTTTTAAGGAGGAGCTTATTTATAAGACTAGAGCATCCTTAAAGTCTGAACTTTAAAAAAAAAAAAAAAAATTCTTCTTCTTTCGGCTGCTCCCTGCATTAGGGGTCGCCACAGCGAACTAAGTCGCACAAAGACTTGACAGTTATTATTTTTTTTTTTTATACGCCGGATGTTTTTCCTGACGCAACCACAGACCACCGAGCCACCACAACCCTCTGTGTGGATCAGAGAGCTGCTATCTAGGACACCCGGAGTAATAGATGGTGGGGGTTAAGGACCTTGCTCAAGGGCCCAGAGTGGGACGAATGTGGGTGGGGGCAGGTGTGGGTGCTTCACCTACCACACCCACATTTTTGATGTTGTCGGTACTGGGGCTTGCTTGAACGGGTGATTTTCCGATCGCAGGCCCACCTTCTCTAGCCTCTGCGCTACCACTCCCCCCTTTAAGGATGAGCTTATTTATAAAATTAGAGCATGCTTAAAGTCAGAACTTTTTAACATCAAGGTGATTATTAATTATTTAGTGTAATAAAATCAATAAGAACGTTTTTATCTTTAACTTCAAATTTCTGTTTGGGATTATTTTTGCATTTGAAACTGAAGCAGGATCAGAAAAAACAAAAACAGACGTTTTCACTTCATTTTGAGTTTTTTTTTCCTTAAATCTTTTTAAATGGCGTGCGCTGGTCATTCACACTCGCACGCGTGACCCAACGAGCCGCGCACGGGTCTGTACGTCCTTCTTTTGTCCTCTTTGGCCAGTCATACGGAAACTCTGGACGAATCCATCTTGCAATCTCCAGCGGTTGTGCAGTTCGAGATACTCTGACACCATGTAATATTTTGTATTTGTCTTAATAAAGACAATTGACACTGATTCCCACGAGCTAGGGTCTGTTTATTGCAGGCTCATAACAAATACACTGAATATTACATCACCTCCGTCTATTTTTTGGCAAGCCCATGAGGACAATAATCATGACGATTTACAACACAACATTGTAAATACATCATAGAGGGTGTATTTTTTTAAGCTTGAAAACAAGTTTCAAGAAGAATCATCTGCTGTCGACTGGCTATAGTTCGACACTTCGATGAGGTTGAGGTCAGGATCTCTAAAGTACAGCGAGGTGATGGGCCCCATGGCACCAGCCCTTTCTAGGGCTCTCTTCAATCTCAACACCACAATCCTGCAGAAGAGAGGACAACAACTGACAATAGGCTTTTATTTCACTCACTTCTGACTTGTTTTCTGAATTATAAGAAAGTCCAGATGAGGTGAAATCAGTAACTGAATGCTGTTTTGCTGACAAATACCTTAAGATGAGCAACCACTGAAGACAGGTGGGTTTTTTTTTGTTACGAGGCACAGATCTGCAGATCCTGCACAGATCATCCTGCAGTTGGATGCTTGGATTTTGGTTCAAACTCTTGGCCCAGCTGAAGATGAGGTGAAGATTAAGTGTCAGCTGACCAAAACCAAGAGCCTTACGCTTTCCCTGGAAAATGCAAACAGGAAATCTGTTAAAGCAAAAAAAAAAAGTATATACAGTATATCAGACGTTTAATTATTAATTAATAATTAATCAAATTAATTAAATGATTAATTGATCAAAGCCAGCCATCTAGTGGTTGTTATTTACACAACTCTTCATTAGCACTGTAGTAAAGCATGCACTTAAATTAGTGATAATTTCTTAATGATTATAAACCAATATTAGAATTTTGAAATGAGTTTGAATGTATGGAA